GACCCATGGTTTAGATAAAATTTAAATAACTGTGAACATCTGTATATCACTGTAAGTTGATATTAATGATTTAAATAAGTATAATTAGTCATAAGGAAGGCTATCGTGGTAAAGATCATGTGAGATAATATTCAAACTATGACTATGCACATCTGGTAACTTTTTGACTTAAGCCAGTTACTAATCTGAGTACAGTATTAGTATTTTTTGAAAATCGGTAAAATGGTGACAGTAATAGTTCCTGTATTACTAGGTTGAAGAAAAAATAAAGTAATACATACAAATCATAATTTCTGGGCCAGACACAAAATATTCACTTGCTGTTTGCCACTATTGTTTTATTGTCACTAATGATTTACTGTTCTTGCCTTTCTAGCCTTTCCTTGATTATCTTGTAGGTTTCAGTGACAAAAGTATCCTGATTTCATAATTTAGAAATAAAGTTATTCTGAGCAAAGAGCTTTATCCTTTAGATCAGATTTTTAAAAAACTCATAATTACTATTATCTTTGTTGCCTTTGCTCTCTTTACATTAAGAAAGTTGGTTTTCTTCTGACTTGGACTCATCAATGAGAAGGCCTTTACTATGCTCTTCCAAATTTCCAATTATTTGTCTGCTTCCTCTTGTGTCATTGTAGGCCCATTAGAAAGAGAAAGATGTCAGTTTCATACCTCTGGCCTCTTGAGAACTTAGTAGTGATATTCGTGCTTTGTCGAGGCTATAGTGTTTTACATCTTGATCTGAGGAAAAATCCTTAACTTTCCCATTCCTTTTTGATGATAGAAGAGGCTTACACAAATGATTCCCTTAAGAGCTCTAGACCCCCAGCTTTTTTATAGGCTAATGTTTGATGGACTACTTCTGTTTAAGTTTATTGTTATTAAGTGTATCAGTTTGTGCTAGAATCTAATTTTTAAAACACATTTCAACCCACTTATTACTGTTTTGTTGTGGTTAGTTTTTAAATTACCTATTTTTTGGTGATGATTGAGTGACAACTCATTCCAGAAAATTATTCAGAAAATATAGAATCATTAAGAAAGTAAAGATCTCACATAGTTTTACTCCACCAAAGTAGTCACTTTTACATTTTTTGTGTGAGTCCCTCTAGACCCTTTTCTATAGTTGAATGTAGGTTAAAATTTTTGTTTTTCCCCTAAGTGCAGTGTATCTGGATGTACTGTTTTATATTCTACTTTCTTCCTAGCATAACTATATGTTTGCATGATTATTTTAAATACAGATACTCTTCTAATTACAGTAAGCCTATTGTAAGTTGTATTTTTAATGCACTTAATCTACTGAGCATTGTAGCTTAGCCACATAGTACAGTATAATGTAGCGTGTGATTGGTTACCCTGGAGATCCTCAGCCAACTGCCCACCATTTGAAGAGTGTATCTTACTGCACATTGCTAGCCAGAAAAATAGATCCAAATTCAAACTTTGAAGTATGGTTTCTAGTCATGAAGTATGGTTTCTAGTTATGAAAGCTTATTGCTTTCATAAATATTTTAAAGTCACAAGATTGTAAATCAAACTGTTATAAATCAGGTACCATCTGTAGTTACATACTACTTTATTGAATGAATATAATCAGTTCCTTCTAGTAGTGAACATTTAGGTTGTTTATAATGTTTTAGTAATTTAATCACACATCAATATTTTCCTATATCCATTTTTTAAGTCTTTTAAATGCATTTTTTAGAGGTTGAATCAGTGGGTCAATTGGTTCTGAAAGTATCTTTTTTTAATTAAATTTGTGTATTATTTGAAAATACGGTAATATTTTCTAATATATTATCAATGTCTGTGTATTTTAATTTCTTTCTTTGGTTCTTAAAAATTGAACATCTTTTTATATTTTTGACCTGTTTGCTTTTTTCTAAGGTTAATTTTCTGTTTTCTTATTTCCTGATGATACGTGTATTTTGAAAATGAGCAGAATTTTAGTTCTTGTATTAAATAACAGGTTATGTTTTCTATTTTTAAAAAAGGCTTGAGTCTTTTCTGGACTCAATTTTTCACCTAGCAGATTATTTTCAAATATTAATATAAGAAATTAAGTAACTAGTAAATAAAACCAAGCTTGTTAAAATTGTTTCCTTATCTAATGCACAATTGAAGATATTGGAAATCCTTAATGCTTTTTTGCACACAAAGATGCTATACTTGATTTGGTTTTGCTGTTTCTTCTCTGCTCGTATTTAGCTCTTGATCATTGTATTAGTCAGGGTTTTACTAGAGAGATCATATAACACAAAATAGACAAATGTATAAGAAATTACAAGATTGGCTTATGATGATCAGCCACAAGAGTTGGATGAGTAAGTGTGCAGAGGGTGTGTGCAAGCTGGAGACCAAAAGATTCAACTAAGGCTGAAGAATCTTTGCGGGAAGTCTGAAGGATCCGAGGCAGAGTCTGTGCTGGAAGCCAAGAGACGATGTCCAAGCCAAAGACAAAGACTGGAGCTCTTCTGAAGAATGGAACTTCATCTGTCTTTCCTTCCCTTTTATACCATCCAGATGAGCCTTTTTAGGGCTTAGAATTGCTAAACAATTTAGTTAAGCTTCTGAATGTCTCAAGTTGACACAGTCAATCAACTACTACAATTCACCCCTTGTCAACTTGGCAACCATACACATATCCTTAAAACAATCTCCAGATACAAAGACATGCATATTATTGTACCTAAAACCAGTACCCTGTGGATGGTGCCACGGTCTGCTGTCAGTTGGAGCAGTACCCAGGCTTTCCTTTCTTGGCTGGATTGCTGAGCACTCTGAACCTGATTCTAAGGAATAGGTTCTGTATGCCACTGCCATTCTGGAACTTGGTGTGGCCTTTGCCGCTATTCTGGAGCATGGCACTTGAGGTTTTTTCCACCAAGCAAAGTCTTTCACTTTTGCAGTTTTGAGGATGCAAAGAGTGGAGACCCGTCATCACTTTCCATGATGCCTTCAGGCCATCTTTTCTGTTTTCCTGTTCTTTCTCAGCAGGCAAGACCTCAACTCTTATCTTTACAGTCCACATCTATACTGGAGCTTTCTTTCTTGTCAAACTTGGAACATTTTAAATCAGTTTGCTGGGCTGTTTGCTTTTCATTCACAACATAAATCTGGCTAAAAGCCTCAACAATAGCCATGCTACTACTTTGAAATTCCTTCTGTCAGATTAATTAATCTGCTGCCCTTAATCTCAGTTTCAGGCAAAGTCTCTGGATACATGAGAAACTTTCTGGCAAGCTGTAACACACATCTGCAGTCCAACAACCAATGCAGTCCTTCTCAGCAGAAACCTCCAAGCCTGATCTTTACCTGCAGGATTTCTGTCAGCCTTTTGGTCTTTTGAGCTCTGGTCAGAATTTCCCATACAGAACAGCCTAAGGCATTCCAGTACTGTGCTTTCAGGTGACACCTTAGAACCTTTCCAAACTCTTCCCACAAGCAGTTCCCAAAAACTCTTAAACCACGTGGTTGAGTATAGTCACATCAACAACCCCAGTCTTTTGGTAACCAAATTCTGTCTCCATTATTTTCTCTCATTGCTGAAATAAAATACCTGATACCCAAAGTTAAGGAAGGAAAGGCTTATTTAGCACATAGTTTGTGGAGGTTTCAGTCTATAATCAATTGGCTCCAAAGCAAAGTGGCACATGGCAGAGGGCAACAGTTCATGGCAGTAGAAAACCGCACAAGCAATAAGAACAAAAGGGGGAGGAACAAGGCTCTTTCTCTCTCTTATATGGTATGCGGGCCACCCACTCAGGGCTGGTGTAGTACTCATACCCATAATTCTAGCATTGGATCATGAACCAATCACAAATTCTAGAAACCCACATCCATGACCTAAATGAGAATTTGGGTGAATCTAGACAAAGCATAACATTCAGCTGCTGATCTTGAGACTCATGCACATCCCTTTATGCAAACTGAGGCATTTAGTCCCTCTCCAAGATTTGCCAAAGTCCTAAACAGTTTCAGCATTGCTGAAATGTCCAGGTCCCACCTCTCCTCCAAGATAGAAGGTAAACTTAGCTACAAACCTCCATACAAATGAAAAGTTAAACATTTCTGGCATTCAGTGGTGCAAGATAGACATTTCTATTCCAAAAATTGCAAACAGGGGAATCCAAAGGAATGGGACCAAAGCAAGTCCAAAATCCAGCAGGGCAAACATTAAGTCATATAACATCTGAAGCAATCTGTGGCAAATTGTGAGCTCTCATGGGTTTGCATGGTTCTACCCCTGTGGCATTTGTGGTTATAGCTTCCAGGGCTTCTCTCTTATGTTCACTCTGCTCCACCCTTGTGCAGGTTCCCTTAGATGATCCACATTCCTGGCTTTTCCAAACTTCTGGTGTGTCCAGTGCACCTTTGGCTTTTTACTCACAGCTTCACACACTGTTCTCTCGGGGGCACACTACTTGGTCTCCCACAACTTCTGAAATCTAGGTGGAAACCTTTTTTTACCTCAAAACTCTTGCATTCTGCATTCAAAGTCTGGAGTCTACTGCAGTGTCCTGTGCAAGTCTGCTCCAGCAGGCCAATCAATAGGTCTGTGATGGAAGGCTGGAGAATCCAAGGCAGAAGCTGAAGAGTCTGTGCTAGAAGTCAAGAGATGACATCCAAGCCAAAGGCAAAGACTGGAACTCCTCTAAAGGATGGACCCTTATCTGTCCTTCCTTCCCTTTTATACCATCCAGGAGATGAACCTAGGGTGTAGAATTGCTGACTAATTTAGTTAAGCTTCTAAATGTCTCAAGTTGACACAGTCAACCACTACAATCATGATGTCTATATAAGTAAAATTTTATACTTTTACCTATATTTTTACATATATTCTTCCCTTTTATTACTGTTGAAATTAAAAGGAAATGGTAATTATTGATCCACTCATTTTAGTAAACTATGATTCTTTTTAACATCAAAAGAAAGATGCTTTGGAAATAATCTTGTGTATGACAAAATCCATCTTGTTTTTTCCTTGTTGCTTTTAGAAGAAAAACAACAGTGAAGACATTATGTATTTATGCAGATTACAAGTCGGATGAAAGCTACACACCAAGCAAGATTTCAGTCAGAGTAGGAAATAATTTTCATAATCTTCAAGAAATTCGGGTATGTCTTTTAAATTTTTAATTATGTCATCCTTAATTCTTGCTCTTTAGAAAATAATTGTGGTTGCCATTTGATTAGACAGATTAAAATATTAGCATATTAAAGGAAAATTTTTTGGTTATAGAAGGAAATTTGTTTGTGTGTGTGTGTGTGTGTGTGTGTGTGTGTGTGTGTATATATTTTTTTTTTTTTCTAATTCTCATTGTCACTTATATTTTCCCCAATATTTTTTTATGGAAGTTTTGAACACAGAAATTGAAAGAATTGTATGATAAATCCTAATATACTTATCTATTGGATTTTTCAGTTGTTAATGTTTTACTATATTTGCATTGAAATGTGTTAATCTCATATTTTATGCCTTTCAAAATAAGTTACAGATGTCTGTATATTTCACCTCAAATACTTCAGCAGAGTACACTAGTAGAACTATCAATATTTTTTCAGATAAAATTTATGTACAATTTTATATAAATTTATTTAGGCTATTTGGTGCATTTTGATAGATGAATGTATCTGTGTAACCCCAACTCATTTAAGATATTGAACATTTCCACCCACCCTAGAGAATTCATTTCTCTTTCTGGTCTGTCTATACTTTCACCCTACAGTCTGAGGTAAATACTGTTGTGGTTTCATTTGATTGTTTCCATTGATCAGTTTTTTCTGTTCTAGAATGTGATAGGTGGAACCATATAGGATATAACTTTAAAAAAAATTTTTTTTTTATTTAAAGAGAGAAAACAACAAAGAAACAGGAAAAAAGGGTAGAAATAATACAGAATTACAAAAAAATAAATAGAAATCACTAGTTGATAAGTTACATATTGCCATCTTAGAAATAGTTGTTCAGGTTACAAAATTAAAGCATACAAAGTGACATTCAAATAGTGACACTGCCAACAGTTCTGCTCAATGATCCAACAAAAACTTAGTAATATGGTTATCAGTCCTACACACTTGTTTTTTTTATCTTAAAGAGGGTACAATTAAACATATCAAGACAGAATGAAACAGTTCATAAAGAAACAATTTAAAGAAATACGGATTTCAAAGCAAGTCCACTGGAGATCTTCACTGTCTATCTTATTGTCTCTAGTTTTCTTCCGAATAGTTGTCCTCATCACACACATTGAATACATACTGTGTACTATAGAACTAATCAAATCATTATAGGGTGATGAAGGCTTTTTAGGTCTTCAAGACCTGACATTGGGGAAGTCAATAATGACTACCATAATGTCTATCATTCTCTTCGTAGTAGCTGTCCTTATCTTTATGTATGCTGCAATTGGACTTAAGAGACTAGAGTAATATCACTCTGAACAGTGAATAATAGTATTGCTAGATTTCATATCAGAATGTTACAGAGTTAGCATTGGGTTTGTTAGTGTCTCTTCTTCTTCAGAATATCTGTTCATTACATTGTGCATTATATAATCTGTTCCCGTAAATATTTAAAAAATTCTTCCCATGTGTGAATTTCTACTTGTATATCTATCAAGACCACAAAACAAATTCCTAGAAAAACATGCAATGAAAAAGACACGTAAGACCACAATGTTAGGTGATCTACGGTAGTTACTGTGCTTTCTCTTGATATTTTCAATAGACTTGTCCACATCATCAGGCTTAGTACAGTTAAGCATAGTATTACATAGCTATTTTTATAAAAACACAACTTTGAAGACATTGTAGGACTTGAGAGTGGTTAATAATCAAAACCAGTATGGATATCTTTTACATCTTGTAGTAGTTGCCTCTACTCTTAGACTTGATACTATCAAGCATACCAAATTCAAATAAAATCAGCCAGGGCAAAACTGTGGTCTAACAAGCCAGCTTCAAATAAGATCAGTTATAGTAAGACAATGTAAGTAATACAGGGTTTCAGTTTAAGTTATTAGGAAATTAAGGATAGTTAGCATGGTATAACCTATTTTGGGGTTAGATGTCTGTGCCCTCAAATCTGATATGAGACTGGAACAAAATAAAATCAAACTAAACAGAATGATAAGACTACTGTGACTTTTAAATCCTGATACACTATTAACAATGACCTCTGCCTTCCTTTTTTAGGCTATTTTTCATCTTTCCCTTTCTCAGGATGCTTTGTATGTTTTGGGTCTCACTAGCCCCTTTAGTTTTTAGATTAGGGGGCCACCCTGTTATCTATCTGAGTGTTGCTGAAACTTTTTACCCCTGAGCTTGATCTTGAGCTGTACTCCTTTACTTACTAAAGTCATAGGGTTTTCTTTCCTTCCAACTGTGTAGTTCTACCCTGCCCAAAAGTGTCATAGCTTTCCAATCTATCTGTCGCTGCTGAATGAGTTGTCTCTATTTCTCTCTGGTTTCCTGTCACATCTAGCATTGTTTTTTCATCTTTGACTTTCAGTTTATTAACCCTCTTTCTGATTGAGTGTATTTCCTATTCAGAGCATCTTGATAGAACCTGCCTCCTAATCTACTCTGCCTGTTTCTCTTATTTTTTAATTTTAGTGTATCAGCGCTATCTATATTAAAGATTATAGCTTATCGTCTCTGCCTCATGTCTGCTATTCTATTTTTCTGCTATAATTTGTCCACTTTACTCCTTCATTCCACTGTCTGCCCCATTCATTGAGGCCTCTCTGCCACTGTTGCTGGAATCCTGGTATTTTTTCTTCTCTCTCTCTGGAATGTCCTTCAGTATTTTTTGTAGGGTTGGGTTGGTGGCCATGGACTCCCACAGTTTCTCTTTGTCTCAGAAACATCTTACTTCTCCATTAATTTTGATAGAGAGTTTTTCTGGGTACATCAGTCTTGGTTGCAGATTATTTTCTTTTAGGGCTTGGATTATTTCCTCCGAGGCTCTTCTTGATTTGAGAGTTTGTGTTGATATATCTGTCGTTATTTTGATAATTTTCCCCTTATAGGTAATGTGCTGTTTCCCTGGCTGCTTTTAATATTCTGTTCTTTTGGTGAATTTCTGGAATCTTGATTATTATATATTTGGGTGTAGATCTGTTTTGGTTGTAGGTGGCTAGAGTTCTGTATGCCTCATTCACCTGGATATCATTTCTATTTCCTATGCTTGGGAAGTTTTCCTTTATTATTCTGTGAATAGTCTTTGTAGTTCATTTTTGGTTACTCCTGCTTCGTTGTTCACATGCTTTAGTCTTAAGTTATGTATCCTCTTGTCTTCCTCTAGCCTTTGAATTGTTTCTTCCTGGTTTCTTCTTATTTTTAAGAGTTCTTTTCTTTCACGATCATATATCATAAATCTCTCTTCAAGTTTCAAAAGGCTAACTTTAGTTTCTGTCAAGGCATTTTGGCAGTTTTCAATGGAGTTATTAGTTTCTTGATAATCTCTTTGGATCTGTTTCGTGTATTCTAGGTTATGTTTAAATTTTTTATAAAGATTTCTCTTTCTTTTCTGAGTTCCTCTGTTTTTCCATCTGTGTTCTCTTGGGAGGGGCTTATCTTTTCTTTAATTAATCTTTTTATATCTTGCCTCACTTGGATCAGAAGTACAGTTTTAAATTTGTCTATGAGGTCATGAAGTTATTTATGTCCGCTGATGCTGTTTCTCGTATTGGATGGTTACTACACTGGTTCTCTTCTGTATTTACTTCTCCTGGGCTTATTTTCCCAGGTTCAGCAGCTGGAGGTTTTTTTTTTAAATTTCTATCTTTTGTCATGTTTCTGGTTTCTTTCAGACACGTGTGTCCTCGGGGTCTCTGGCCCTCTCCATATTGCTTAGGGTCTGACTGGGGTTTTGTTCCTTCCTCAGTTTGCTGTTATCTGAGATACACACAGGGATGCAGGGACGGTGCAGGCTAGCCTTGAGCCTCTGAGCCAGTAAATCCACAATTTAGGCTGTACCTGTGGACGTAACAGAGTCATGATAATTTTGTACCTGCTTATTGGGTCCCAACCAGATGCATGGCTTAGCCCCAGCAGATCCTGCCAGTTTTTGCCAGTTCTCTCTGCTCCAGGGGTGGCTGACTGATGTCACCACGGTGTTGGGCTCTGCCCAACTCCAAGATGTCCTCCACCAGTCCTCTTTGTATCGGGGGCGACTGACTGATGCTGCCGCAACGCTGGGCTCTGCCCAACTTCAAGATATCCTCCAGCCAGCAACAGCAGCCCCAGGACCCAATCCCTAGCACTCACTGGGAACCGATGCAGATCTTCTTCTTGGGTCCACTCCCACACTGTGCCGCATGTCTTCACTGTGCTCCTAGCACAGCACGGATCTGTCAGAAAACTGTGTGGTGCCTGGCTTCAGTGCCCAGGTGTATGGTCCTCTTGCAGTCTCCTCCGGTGTGGCCAGGTGGCTCTGGCTGCTTCGCAGGTCCCCAGGACCCAATTTCCAGCACATACCAAGAGCCAATGAAGCTGTTCCCCTTGGATCCACTGCTCACTATGCTGCGTCCTCCTGTTAAGGATTCGACTCCCGTTATTGGCAGCTGCGGTCTCAGCATGACTTTGGATTGTCCACTCACACCTATTACAGCATGGAATGGGTCTCAGTGAGCGTGCCGGGTTTCAGTTCTCCACCTGTGCTTTTCCTTCCTCTTCTAGTTTTATTTTTCCCTTTGGTTACTGCCTCTGTTAATAAGAATCGTTATCCAATCGTCTGGCCCTCTCCAGGTTGTCAGATTCTAGCATCTGATCTGATTTCTCTGGAGAGGCTCTCCATCCAGCCCCCTAGCAAGCTGCCATTTTTTTTTTTTCATATAGGATATAACTTTTACATGTAAGATTTCCTTCAGCCTAATTTTGGGAGGATTCATTCTTGTCATGGCATGCATTGGCGTTTCATTCTCTTTTACTTCTGAGGTGTATTCTCTTGTTTTAATATACCACCAGATATTTTAGGTGTAACTTGTTGAAGCTATTAGGACAATGTCCCCCAATATTGGCATTTCAAAGACATTCTCAGTGTCTTTGAATTGTGCTCTGTGAAACTCTCGATTCTTAGCATTTTTTGCCAGAAAAAAATTTTTTTTTTTTTT